CTAGTCAGGATAAAAACAAGTGGAAACACAACCCTTCAGCTCGTGTCCAGTTTGAGCTCCGGGGCTTTTCAAAATTGCTCAACGCAGTTTGTGAGAAGTCGTAAAACTATCAGGTGTGACAACAAAGGTGGATAACAAAGGTTGCTCAGTGATGAATTTAGAGGCTTAAATTACTTACCTGAACCTAAACCTGTGATTTAAGCAGTTAGAGCCGCAACGATCATGGTTTCATGCAGTTTTCTAATGTCCTGCTGACAGAGCCGTAAACTGGACACCTGTGAGCTGAGCGACTCCAGCATCTCGGCCGAGGTTGCACAGAAGATGGCCAGGTTTCACGGGATGAGGATGCCCTTCAACAAGGAACCAAAGTGGCTGTTTGGAACCATGGACAAGTGAGTCCCCCGAGCCCGTCACCGCGTCAGGCAGCGAGCACATCAACAGTTCAAGTTCTCTCAGATAGCGTGTCACAGCACTGATTACTTATCGACTTCTGCAGGTGGAAATACCTTCAACCTTATGCATCAAGTGTTTACGAGGTTTACGTTGCACAATGTTTGTCGGCGTGTGCTGATAAAGGCCGCTGTCTTTTTCTATCAGTATTCCTCCTGAGTTATGTAAGCAAAGCCTGAGTCCGGCCGTTCGGCTGATTTTCCCGCCACAAAAGATTCACGGGAAAACCTGGGAACTGTTGTCCTGGGAAACACATGGAAGCTGCCAGATGTGATGAGATTATCTGGCTGTTCTTTTTGTTTCCTGTAAAGAGAAAATTACACCCATACAGCAGATGTGGTTATATATATATACAGCTACATATTTGTGTGCTCAAGTTTAAATAGCAGCCAACGTGAGCAAATATCAAAAACACAAAGACATTTTTAGACCAGCTTAAAAATTGGAGAAAAAGTTTTCATTATTTTTAAAAACTATTGTTTATTATTTTTAAAACTAAGCTATCATTGACTAAATGTAACTTCAACACAAATAAAGTAGTGACCTGTAACACTTTGATCAGGTACCTGAGCCAAGTGATGAGGCTGAACTTCACCAGAGAGTCGCAGCTGCGTCGCTTCAACCGCCTGCTCAGCTATGACCTCCCACAGGAGATGGAAATGCTCAGGTATGTTGCTGCAGACACGCAGCTGTAAAACACTGCACACATGACACAAGTGTGTTTCCTGACTGTTATGCAAGTTTATCACATGAAACATGCGTGAAAATCACGGCTACACGGGCGCAGAGGGCAAAGGAAGCACAGCTGAGAGTCTCTAAACATCCATGACTTTATAACGAAGTGACCGCCTTTGTGTTTGTGCAGGTCTCTGCTCAAGTCCACTCCTTCTCCCGTGGTCTTCTGCCACAACGACTGTCAGGAAGGTAAAACCTGAAGACGCGAGGTCGCCCTTCATACCATCCGTTTCTTTTGTTGCAGCAGTGCTAACTTGTGTGCGTTTGCTCCTTTCAGGAAACATCCTGCTGCTGAAAGGCCGCCAGAGCTCAGACAGACACAGGCTGATGCTCATTGACTTTGAATACAGCAGCTACAACTACAGGTACACGAGCAGCACACCTGCAGTAACATCTGACCTGGGACCCAGCTGTTTCTGCATCAGTCCTTTGCTGTCATTACTGTTATTATTGTAGGGGTAGCATTAGAAACAAGAAGCAGATCGATAAACTGGATCAGCATCCTTAAAAATAACAATTCAAATGAAATAAAAATATTAGAAATAAAAACTGACACAAGGTGAAAAAAACACCTCCATGTTTACAGTTTTTTAATGGTTTGGTGAAACCGATGCGCCGAGCACAGCCTGACTCGAGCGCTGCTGCGTCACCGTCACTCATCTCCTACCAACCTGTGTCACATTCAGTGCTCGCTAACCAGATTATAACCTGTAATCTGGTTATAATGGGAAACAAAGCTACTAGAATCAGAGCGTAAACAAGAAGAAAAACCGCCACAGTCGGCTTATGGCTGCGTTTTAGTGATATTCCTACACTCATGCTGTGCGATATGACCAAA